CGATAGACATTCATGCGGGGCTTGGTATGGAGAACTGCATACCCACGTCTATCACTGGGCTCGGTTCGGAGCTGTCCTCGGAGCAGCCGATTGAGTCTCTTTTCAGCAAGGACGAGACGCAGAGCTACCAAGCCATTATTGGGTCGATCATGTATTTGCACATATCACACGATATCACGTCATGTACTCCACTAGCCAGCTTGCACGCACGGTCCAAGTTAGCCAAGGTCCAGATCGGTGCTGCGAAGTGCCTTGTGCGGCATCTTGCTGGAACAACGGACTACAGCATAACCAACAAACGAGCAGGGTTATCTCTTCGGATGCCAAGTGGGGCAAGAACCCCGACAACGGGCAATCGACCTGAGCATACTTCGTCATGATGTCGAAGGCTCGCGTGAGCTTCAAGAGAGGAATCCAAGGCCAACTTCATCCGATGAACTTCAGACGGGAATCCAACGCCAACTGCAGTGTCAAACATGGAAACAGAGCTGGTGGCTGCAGAGTATGAACTATGAAGGAAGCATTTACTTGCTCAAACATGATTGCCCAGCTAAATAGGATTCGCGAGTTATAGTTTTAGCACCACTTGTTCCCGACGGAAGTCCACGCAGAACAGACAGATACCAGGCAGAACGATGGTAGTATCCATGGGATGGCAAGGATAGTAGATATACCCAGACGAACCGTCGTCACACGGAGAGATAACGAAGAGTGAGGTCAATCACAAGTCTTTGCAGTGAGATAAGGAGAAAACCTACAAGAAGCACATACTGGGCTTATTTTGAATCTGTTTAAGCCCATACACTGATGATTCGTCACTGACTCCAATTGTCCCCGTCACATATTCTACGATCGCATTCAACCAGCCAGACCGTGGACCCACGGCCATCATTTTGCTCTTTTCCCTATTCATCTTTCGGCAAAACGCATGCAAGACTGCGACATGAAGCCGGCCAACATTCTGCTCCTGAGTGACTGCCAAGTAAGAATCACGGACTTCGGGCTTTCACGGAGTACGAAACACCCGCCGTTCAAGGATGGAGGTACGGCAAAGAGCGGAGCAGCGGACGACGAGTGAAGTCGGATTGTACCGGAGGAATTGCCAGTGCCGAGGTCGGTCTTAGAAAACGCCCCCAAGTCTCCAACAGAGAATTATTGATACGAACTCGAAGAACCTGTCGCTGAGATAAACGGGAAACCGTGGTGAGGTTTGCTTTCTCGCGGGGTATGCCATCAGCAAGATGCAATACCAGTACCCACCATAGTAGTAGGATGTGCTTAGGATTAAGCTGTTGGCGTCTTCTCCCATCAGATAAACTACAACGGCTGGGATTCCTTATGCATGTACTCAACAACGCGCAGGAACGTGAGACGGGAGAAGTCATGAACGCCCACAGAACCTACGAAACAGCTTGTAGACAACAACCTACCTCCTACTACCTTTTGGCTACATTGTTCGTAGCTCACAGAGTTGCTTAGCTTCAATTCCGGTGGACCTAATTCCCCTCCCTGCGCTGCGGTAGATGTGGGAACGAGGTGGTACCGCGCACCAGAAGTGATGCTCGGATCTGAAGGCGGATGTGCAGAACCAGTTGACGTCTGGTCCGTTGGCTGCATCTTCGGCGAGATGTTGGGGAGCCGGGGGCCACTCTTCCCTGGCAAGAACGATACCGATCAGGTAAGGAGAGACTCAAGACATTTGCGGCTTTTCCACCCTGAGGACACTGATTCTCTCCATTGTCAAAAGGTGAATATTTCGCGAGATGTTTGTCGAAAATACTCCCCGCCTGCAAGCTTGTTGCGTGTTACACCCCCCCCCAACGACAGTCCACGCCCGCGTCGCGGTGTCCTCGAGAGGAAAGTGTCGCACAAACGTCTACTGGCATCCCAAGATGCTGCTGTTGTTGTCGTTTGCGCCATCTATGTCAGTATGCCCCACGGGCGTCCACGAGTCCATGGGTCAAGTACTAGATAGCATGGAACGGCTCAACCTGTCTTCAATGAGTCCTCCGACACCGCTGTCACACACCACACACCCGGGAAATAGTGTAGGGAACTTACCCAGCGGTATCATCCGAGCTGACTGGACTTTGTTCATGGACACAAATCGTTTCGCGATGGCAGATCAGCCTCACGCTCGCTGCCGTTGGCATACCCGACACCGAAAGCAATACCTGCCTCGGGTACTCGCTGAACGAGGATGCTCTGCAGTTGCTACGAACGGTGCATCTTCCCAAAGGTGAGGAGAAGGGATTGTTTGACCTGCGATTTGTCCACGTGGCTATGACCCCCTATTGGCTACTGGAGTGCGATCAGAAATCAATGAAATGTTCTTTAGGTAGGCTGCAGCCAGCTTTCGCAGAGAGGCGGAGAAGGGGTGCTAAATCCGGCCGCGTCCGCAGGCTGCAAGCAACTTCCGCAAGAAAACACGTGCACGACCTATCTGTGCGTTCGAACGGGACACCCCCACCGCGAAACCAAGAAACGCTCGTCGAAAAAAATAAGCGCATAGCAACCTCGGCTCAATTCGCGGCCCCAACGTCCATGCTAGACTATTGTTGTCACAAATGACTGCGTCCCCCCGGCTATTGTTGGACCTTTTTCAGGACGTTCGCTTCGGTCCCTAGTACCCCCCGATGTTGGTGAGGAGGCTTTCGACCTCCTGAAAAAGCTTTTGGACATGAACACTCAGTTAAGGCTGACGGTAGCCGAAGCGCTGGGTCATGCTTTTCTGGAAGATTTTGCTAGGCTCCTGGGCGCGACTGTCTCGTCCAAACATGCCTCCGCTGTCGAAAAATCGATCGGAAACCTTGGCGAGAGTGCTGTCGACTTCAGGCAAGCAGTTTTTCGTAGTTGATGGCCCTGTGTGTTTCTCACGCGTGACCGGCCGGTCGGTAGTCCTGGATGACGTCACCATCGGTCGCTTATGTTTCGCCGGTGGCTTTCTTGGCTTGACTCGTATGGAAGAATTCTTGTAGTCGCACGGAAGACAAGTTCCTCGTGTTTTTATGACTTCGTCGATTGCGTTCTGCGAATGCCCGAAAAACAGCTTTGAAGACGGCGATCTTACCGCCGAGGAGCTAGGGAAGCTTATCGTAGCGGAGGCCGCAGCATACCAGGATACGAGACCGGAGCTATGCCGACGAGATTGCACCAGGAACGGCGACGATGCTCCTGCGGGCCGGCCGACACTTGAGCCAACGCTTACCTTGAAGGTCGGTGCTATCTTCAAGCCAGAATAAACAAACAGAAGTAACGCATTGCAGTGTGTCCTTCTCACGTCTCCGAGAAATTAAAGACACCTCTGGGCGCCTAGCTTTTATTTTTTCGTCCAACTATCTTTCTTGGTGCCAACCTTCACCTTCCCGGTATGTATTTGTGACGTGCCAGTCGGGTCACACAGGAAGATATCTCCGCCTTTCCTCTCATGCGTTCCCACTGGAAAACGTACAGTAGTGGCGGGGGGGCCTTTCGTGCCAAGAAAACCAACGATGATTTCGCACATACCCAGTGGCACTAGAGCGGTTTCACTCCCTCATGTACGAGCGGACATCTTGGAAACATTTCCATCTGCAAGGAATCGTTTCGTGTCTTGATTGGTCGATAAAAAGGGAGCCACCGCCGTACCCCTCGTTCTTTCAGGACGTTCTCGGAGCGGTGCGCACGCAAGCCCGCAACCGGGAACTGGATGCCGGGATCGGGGCCAGGGTAGGGGAGACCGCAACCGGCGATGGGGACGACGCCAATACCAATCTCTTGGAACCCACCAGCCCACCCCAGACGTTTGACTCACGGTTCAGCTCCATGGCGAACCTTGCAGACGCGGAAAACGGAGGTCTCGATGGCTTGGATGGGTCCCCGGCTGGTAGCACCGATTCAGACCGGGGGGTGACACCTGAACCTCTTGAGAACCGCGCCGACATCCGAGGTTGTGAGGAAAGCGGGGGGAGTGAGAGGCCCCATCAGCGAGACGGGGGGGGGACAATCGCAGCCGGGGTTCCGGAGTACTACCGCACCAACACCGGAGACGGGAAGGCTAGATCGCCCACAGGGGGCTGCGGGAAGACAGAGACGGCCCCTCGACAAAATACGACCAAGCAGCGTAAGAAGAAGGTGTCATCATCGAAGCAGCTGCTACATGTCGAGGGGCGAGGCAGGTCGTTCGAGGAGGAGCGCGCGGCCTCCCTCATCCAGAGGAGCCACCGTCGAGCGGCGGCGATCAGGCGCGCGAGGAACGAGCACGAGCGGTCTTTTCAGAACCAGCAGTTCATGTTCGGACCAGGGTTTCAGCAACAGCAGCAGCAGCAGCAGCAGCAGCAGCAGCAGCCCTCCAGCCGGGCCACCAGAGACAGCGGGGGCGAGGGCGGCAAACACTCGGCAAGCCAGGAACGACGCCGTGACACGGTATCTCTCACCCCAAGCGAGGAAGAAGAAAGGCACAAGATCAGCAGCCGCGCGGCCAAGGCGGCGGCGGCGGCGGCAGCGGTATCTGTTCCACAACTACCGATCGATTCGTCGGCCTTTTCTTCTTCTTCTGCCGTCGGTGGTGGGGTTCGAAGGGCAGCTCAGAGGGAGCCCCTGGCGATTCTCCGGCTGCTGAGAGACGACCCCGAGGTCCAGCCGAAGCCCAAGACGGACCAGTTCAGGCTGCGGGCGACCACCAAGTCGGCGATCGAGGCCCACATCAGGAAGACGGGGGCGGCACGGCGCAAGCCCCACCCGCTCCCGACCGGGCCTTGCTGGAGGAAGGCCGCGACTCCGATGAAGCGAGTAGCGGCAACACGGGCCGCGCTCACGAAGCCCCGGGCCGTGTCGCCGCTGCACAGGAGCGTGCGACAGGTCAACACGTTCATCGCGGCGACGGACAGGCAGCGGAGACAGCCGCCGTCCGCCGCGGCGAGGCGGGCGCACTCGGCGCCGCCGAGCAGGGCGACGGGGCGGCTCAGGTGCGCCATTTTTGCCGCCGAGACGATGGTGGAGCGCGAGTATGCGCTAGCGGAGAGGCGGAACTCTCTGCTGGGTCCCGACGACTCACCGGCGGACGAAGAGCTGTCCAGAGACTTGCTTGCGTCGCCGCTTTTGGTGCCTTACAAGCCCTCGGCTTGACCGAGTGGATGGGCTGTGGACGAGCAGAGGGGCTTCGGCAGAGTTGCACAGTGTACAGCGGCCTCCTGTGCGGGTGTGCTTGAACGATATTGCTCAGAGCTCACGTTCTCCACGGTAGATTCTGGAACGGAGCTGAAAAAAACTGTTGGCTTCTTCTTAACTTCTCCGTGTGCGAGAACCTGTCTACGCGTACGGCTGGAACTTGAGAACTTGAGTTCTGACCCGAAACTTGAACGACTTGGCCCGTCTTCCGTGATCGATCGTTTTTTCCCACCGCAACTGGTTCTGGTAGAGAGCGTCTTTAAGAAAATTTAAGAGAAGTGCCATGCATGACATCACCGAAGGACTACCCGTTTGAGATGACTCTCAAAAGGGGCGCGTTGAAGTCTTACGTGAGGGTTGAAAGACACTAGCTGCGTACACGAAAAATAGTGTACAGCATTCAGTGCGAGTAGATTATTATTGCTTGGAACAAGGATTTCGTGATGATGCCAGCCGGGATAAAACCAAACACAATTGAACATATGACATTCCTATTGGGGTTGGCCAGAACAAGTCTGCCAGAAAGGTCAACCGCGAAAATGCCCGGGATAGAAACCCCCCCGGTCTTGCCGTACGTCCCCAGAAAACTTGTCTATGGACAAATCGTGAGGTATGCCTACTACATGTACATTGCTCCCTTGTACATGGGCGCATCGGGTATGCCTACTACTGTACATGTACATTTCGTACAGTGGTTTCGTGGAACAACTCAAATCAACGTCGAACCTAGCTCCGACACGCCCTCCGTGTCACGGTTGGTCTTCTTGCCCCCACGATAAGGGCAAATACATATTAGACTGTTAGTGATTCGACTGTCTAGGGTAGACCAAAGCACCGCACTAGTGAAGCGGTTGTACGTGTTTGCTCTTGGTCGCAAACAGAGAATATTAACTGTTATACGGTTTGTAGACTTTAATTATGATACCCTTTCTTCAAGGCACGTCGCGAACCACGTGATGAACGGGTGTACATAGTATCTTTCGCAAACAAACGAAGTGCGTACATAGAGCAGCAACGATTGTAGAAAGCTCGATTACTCTGCAGCGACGGCATACAGTGCAATCGCCGACAATGGTGGCGTTGGAACCTTCTTGTCAAGAGCTTTCCGAAAAGGTATCGTTGACTGTGGCATTCTCTTTGCCATTGAGTACATGTATATCGAGCTTCAAAAATCGATCAAAATGGGGGGGCGGTATCTTACACAAAAGACCGTCCGAAGGAAAAGCGCGCAGTTTTCCTCTACTGCGAGACTGCCGGAGTTCACATGGCACATGAAGCTTTACCGTCCTCCCGAGCGTTGTGCTGGAGAGAGCTGCAGACACACCGCTGTCCAGCGTGCTGTGCATAGCGTGATGGCGACGTCTGGAGCGAGGGTGCTGCTCCGGTTGCGCAAGACCGGGGCTGTCCCTCGGCTTCGGCCGGCGGAAGCTACCTGGCAACATGGCCGGCGATCAGCGTCGGGAGTGACGACGACAGCACGGCAATCTAGCAGCAGTAGTAGTCACGCGGGGCACTTCTTGAGAAGCGCACCAGCAGCAGCACCTTGGCGAAGGGCGAGGGCTACGGGGATCGGCATGCAGTTGCCCAGGCAGACCGCTAGGGCTTTGACGTCTGGCGTGGTGAGACCTGTTGTGCGGTGCTGCTGTCTGGGATTGCCATCTCGGTTGACTGCTGTAGCGTGTTTTTTGTTGCGAGGTTTGGGTTCGCAAGGTACACGTTCTCATGCCCACGGATAGCGAGAGTCACTGCTTGTTTACTGCTGATGAAGTTCGGTCGGCGGTTGCGGCACACATGTACCAGAAGCCCGGCTGGGTGCACTCTGTGTAGCTAGCAGCTCGCGCTTGTTGATGGGGTACTGGTGCAGTTTTAGAGCGCTGCGTGTGTCTGTTGCAGAATCTGCTGTCCTGTTGCTGGTCACGTTTTCACGAATCTCGACCAAACAAAGCATCAGCACGCCGAAGCATCTGATCCATGGTTGTACATATTGTATACGACGAGATTTATTTTCCTCATAAATTTACGACGATCACAGAGGGCGGATCCAAAGGCAGATGTAGACCGCCACTGATGTGGTACACACAGCAGTCCGCTGTGAAAATACAAACAGCAGACTTCTCGCGGTGACGCGAAAACGGCCGCTCTCTCCTCTGTGCGAAGTCAGTTGTTGTTCGTGAGACATCCGAACCGAAGGCACACCTTTTGTCTTGCTGTCGACGTCCACCCACCCCACAAACAGGACTTCACGGTGGTGAACATGCCGGCGCTGTCGCCGACCATGGAGAGCGGGACCGTGACGGAGTGGCACAAGTCCCCGGGGGACGAGCTGTCGGCGGGAGACGTGATCTGCGACGTCGAGACGGACAAGGCCACGGTGGCCTTCGATGTCCAGGACGACGGCGTTCTCGCGAGGATCATCTCGGAGGCGGGGTCGGGCGAGGTGTCCGTGGGGAGCCCCGTGGCCGTCATCGTCGAAGACGCCGACGCATACGCCGCGTTTGTAAAGGCCGACGCTGCCGGCGAGGTGGACCTTGGGGCGTTGGGGGGCGGGGGGGATACTGCGGAAGCGGCGGCGCCGGCGCCTGTTGCGGCGGCCGACAGCAGCAGCAGCAGCAGCAGCAGCAGTAGTAGTAGTAGTAGCAACCTGCCGGAACGATCCGTGCCGGAGGCGTTTTTGTTTGCGCCGGCCGCGAGGCACATGGCGCAGAGCAAGGGCATCGATGCGAGCTCGCTGGAGGGGACGGGCAAGGGCGGGCGCATCACGAAGGCGGACCTGGTGCTGGCCCTGGCAAAGGGGGTCGAGTTCCCGGCCGCCGCTAAAGCCGCCTCTTCGCAGGCGCCGGCGCCGGCAACAGCAGCAGCAGCGGCGCAACCGGCGGCGGCGGCGGCGGCGGCGGCACCGCCGGTAGTTCCGTCCAGCAGCAGCGGGGACTTCGTGGACGAGCCCGCCAACAACATCAAGAAGATCACGGCGAAGCGTCTGACCCAGTCGAAGGCGGAGGTGCCGCACCTGTACGTGTCGATGGCGTGCGAGGTGGACGGGCTCATGGCCTTCCGAAAGGCGCTGCAGAAGGAGCACGATGTCAAGGTGTCGGTGAACGACATCATCATCCGCTCCGCGGCGCTGGCGCTCCGAGACGTGCCAGAGGCGAACGCCAAGTGGTCCGGCGGCGCCCGCCAGTCCGGCGAGTCCATCGACATTTCGGTCGCCGTCGCGACGCCGACGGGGCTCATCACCCCGATCGTCACGGACGCGGACCAACGGGGGCTCAGCAACATCAGCGGCAAGGTCAGGGACCTGGCGACGAGGGCCCGCGACCGGCAGCTCAAGCCGGAGGAATTCCAGGGCGGCAGCTTCACCGTGTCCAACCTGGGCATGTTCGGGATCAACGAGTTCTCGGCGGTGATCAACATGCCGCAGGCTTGCATCCTCGCCGTCGGGGGCGGCGCGCCCAAGGTCAAGCCCGGCAGGGAGGCCGGGGACAAGCCGCGGGTGTGCTCGGAGGTGACCGTGAGGCTGTCGGCCGACAGGAGGGTGGTGGACGAAGCCATCGCGGCCCAGCTGCTGCAGTCGTTCAAGCACTATATGGAGACGCCCGAGCTCCTCCTGATGTGAATGAGGGACGCCGCGGTGTGTGCTGCGTGTTAGGCCAAGGGCCTAGGTTGCGTTGCCGCCCTTGTTGGTTGCTGTATTTTTTTGCTTTTTTTGTACGTCGAAGTGGATGTGGTGCAAAACGCCGGCGACGGGTTGGCGGGAGGTCGTGTCTGTAAGACTTTGCATACGGTGTATCGAAGCGCTTGCGCAGATTAGGGTTGGTCCTACTGGACGTGAGCGGTGGCCTTCTTCCTATGTGTCGGGTTTGGTGCACACAACGCGTCCAATTTTGTTCAGCTTTTCCTCAACACCGTGTTTTTTTTTTTGCAGTGTGCGGTAAGGTTCTGGCAAAGCGAACCAACCACCAATCTCTGAAGACATAGAAAAATGTCAGCATGATCACTATAACCCCCACTCGTGTTGATAAACGGGACATGGTATTTTTCTCGTTGAAAAAGATACGAAACCGCATGTTCGTGGTCGTTCAAAAAACGGCATCAGCTGACGCGCTCCTTTTGATTGTCTTGGGCGCCCCGGTCTTTGTGGTTGATCTTCCAAATGTCACCCCAAAGACCAGCGGTTGCTCTTGCCGTGTTCCTCGAAGAACGTTACTCAAGAGTGACACACTTCATTTCCTCTCTGGCACGACGAGAGACTCTCGGCGAGTTCATTGCAGTTCTTGTTGTGCTGGGCCGTGTGCAACCAGTATATCCCCTGAAAAAAATGGCGTGGGTCTGCAGACGGTTAGCCGTTGGGGCTGCCATAATGAAATCACACTAGATTCCTTCCAAATATTTGAGGGCAGCGCTCCTCCTTTTGCTTTCTATGCATAGGGCCCGTGAGTTTCCCCACAAACCGCAATACGCCTAGTTTCATCGCATCAACGTCGATCGCCCGCCTTTCAAAACTCGACAGAAGGGACGCTGTCATTGGCCAGAAATATATATATATTTTTTGCTTTTTTTTTCTGTTCTCTTTCTCCAACATACACGCGACGAGAGCGCGCGCCCTTCTCTCGAGGCCCTTGCGCGCACAAAAAGTTTGCCTGGAGGAGCTTTGCAAAATTTATGGAGATGCGGTGGCCGTCGCCGTCTTGCATCCACCAACGATGATGCACTCGTTGCACAGTTATAGTAGTTTCCACAAGCGACCGTGCATCACAACCAACCGCTACAACAATAAACCGCCGCACAACAGACACACTCGGGCACCACAACCGCTTGTATGATGAACAGGTCGCCGTTGCAAAACACCTAATACATGCATTCTGGCGTGTGCAATTTAGGCCGTTTTCGAATCTCTATTGGCTCGGTAGTGTCCGACTTTTTTCGGGATCATCGAAATGCCACTGCCTGAAGTAACGGTACATACACCTGTCGTGTCTTCACGCCATGCGTACATGAGGAGTCCGTCCCCGTTGACGTTCTGAAGCCTGAAACAATATGGAAAAAAATGGCCTGCTTGGGACTTGCAACGCCGACGATAGTCGTCGGCTTGCTTTCAACAATCGTTTCTTTTTTTCTTTTTTTCCTGTCCCCTCTCTCGATCACACATGCGACTGTATCAAATGGGCACACGGGGAACATACATGAGGTTTTGCTATTCAGCCAACCAAATGAGGAGCCGAGAAAAAGGATCGTCGCCGGGAGGACTCTATCCCCGGGACAATCCAACCGCGATGCTGAAGACGCACCCAACGCATGTATGTCCAGGGTTGTGTCTCGCGGTGGTGCGCGAGTCTGTCTTCCGAGGTTGTCTCACGCCGCGAGGGGTGTCTCTCTGGTTCTCGGCCTAAGCCCTTACTTGTATGGCCCATGCCCCCGCACTGGAAACAGGGGCTCTTGGGCGCCCACCGCGTTCCAAGCCCTTGGGCAGTAGTTCTCGAGAATGGAGTCATAGACGTTCTCGCTGTGATCGCGGCTACCCTGCAGCTCGCTGAAAGGCCGCTCGTGCAGTTTCCGCCACTGCATTGCGGGGTGCAACGCGTGCAGGCGTCCCGCTTCTTCCACGTGGACGCCGCCGGGGTCGTTCGGGTCCGGAAGCAGTTCGTGGTCGTTGAAAGCCTTTTTGTGCAGCGTCGTGCGAGGAAGAATAGCAACGTGGCAGTCTAAGCGGATCCATGGGTCATAGGTTGGTGGTACATGGCTGAATCCGCGTCTCATCGCGACGACTGTTTTGTGCTGTCGAGACTGCTGATCAAAGTTGTCAGCCATGGACCTGTTCACCCCGACCTCCTCCTCCCCTCGCTTGTTAACAAGAGAAACTCAGCAACACGATTTGTTTGGCTGCCCGATCCCCCTCGAAACGCCGTGCGCAAGAAAAAAGAAAGACCCGCCGAAGCGTCCAGCCAACCGTGTCATTATTCTTGGCCGGACCTCAGGTAAAGGTACTGCTGGCAAATGCAAACACCAATTACCGTTTCCCCTATTTCATCTTGGCTTGCAGGGTCCCGTGGACACGATCCCCGAGAGCTGGTACTTGTACTCAATGCCCAAATTTCGATTTCCGATTGAAACTATACCCAAGCAATTAAGGAGGTGTAGCGGTTGGATGAGTTTTGTATGTTAGGTGGACCTTCGATTGTTGCACATGAGTAGAAAGGATCCTTCCGCAACTTTCGAAGAATGAGCATGTCATCTTACGGTTCTGGTCGGAAGATACCCGGGGTTTTAGCATGCACAGGATCCATACTGCTGCACGTGTGCAAATGTGAGGGCCTTGTTGGACTCGCAAAGAACTCTCGTGAGTATGAGGGGTAAGCACCCTGAGCCTGCAGCTAAATGGGGACGAGGTAAGTAAGGACCACGTGTGTGTGTGTCGGTCATAGCTATAGGTGACACGCCCTTGTGGGTGCTCGCGAGCGTGCTGCATGGACGAAATAGTGACAGCAAGGGGGCGTTTATTGCTGAGGTTGTTTGAGCTTTGAAGCAGATCATGGTTTTCGTTTGGCATGGTGGACCCCGCTCAACAAGCAAGGTCGCAAAAAGCAGTTTAACCCTTGCCTGCGCCCGCAGTATGACTTGCACGCGTACCCCTACCACCCACAGCGCAGGCAAGCAAGGCCATCCAACAGCGCTACAGCCCTCGTCACTGACCGTTCGAGTATCGTTCAGGTACAAGGCGCGCTTCCTTCCCCCGGGGTCTAGACCCTTGTTCATCCCTATGGTAGCGGTGGGCTTGATGCTCGCCTCCCTCTCTCGCTGGTTTAGCAGGCGTTGCGTCAGCAGCCGCCGTCCGTAGAACGGGTGCGGAGTGCTCTCTTTCTTCATCGCCCGAGACCGTGTGGTGAGCAGCGCAGATGATGTTGCTGCGCGAATGAGCGGGCTCTCTATGCCTGCGCTTTAAACGTCAGCAGCGAACGCATTGCGGGGTGTGAAGGGTCACCAGTGGATAAGAGGGGCTCGGTAGCGTGCACGAGCGGGATGCCGAGCAACGGGTTACATGGACATCTTCTTGGCCACGACAACACTCAAAAAGTGCGCTGAGTAAAGGTAGTTTTCGACAAAGCGTTCTGTAAGAACAGCCCGTCAAGAAGTCCCCGAGCGATCGAAACAGAGTTTACAGGAACTCGCACCAGAGGAAAAAAAACGATCGAGACTTGCCAGTACTATGGAAAGAACGATGAATTTCGTACTAACCCCCATCCTCCGCAATTTCAAGAGCGGCGACACGTCTCCGCTGGCTTGTCGTCATCGGCCTCCCGAAGGGGTCGCCTGAACATCCCGAACCCGCTCCGCCTGTGGGTGGATCTTTGCCGTTGTCCCGTATTCCTGGCCAACGATTTCTGCGCCCCTCTAACTGTTCCTTCGCCACCAGCCGTGAGTACGCCGTTGACTGCCCTGTGAGGCCACCGACGCGCACCCCTGCCGCCTCGTCCCTCGCCTGGGCAAGGTAAACATCAATCTCCTTCCCTAACTTGCTCTTGGTTTTCTGTTGCCGTCGTTTTTTGTCCCCTCCCTTGTCCCCTTCTTCCTCCCCCCGTCTCCGCCCGCCCTCGTCGCTTTCCCTCGTTCCCGAAGGGCTAGGACCGCAGTTGCTGCCCGAACAAGACTTGGCGCTGTTAGTGTTGTTGGTGCTGTTCTCAAGTGTGGAAGCGATGGTCACCGCGTCCGACGCAGAGAAGTTGAGAATTTTTGCGCGAGCCCTTTGCTCCGCGCTCAGCACGGGCCCCGTGATGATCTCGTCCACCAGCAAGTGTCCCCCCCTCGCGTGTACGGCCGTGCTCTCTTCGTGCTCCTCCATCCTTACCTGAGCCAGCACCTCCTTCGCTGTCAGATCCGTGGTCAGGTTCGCGTCCGGATCAGTCAGAAACTTCATCCATTCCTGAACGAACTCCGAGTTCCGGTACTTGAGTCTTGCCACCGGCCAGGTCGCCAGGAGCGTCTTAGCGTCCTCGTTGCCCGCCCTGATTGCGGCGGTCTCCGGGGTGAAGTGCCGGTGGTCGATGATGTCGTGGGTTGCTTGGCTCAGCAGGAGAATCCAGAGGGCCATGAAGGGGCCCCGTCGAGCGGCGGTATGCAGTGCGACCTCCCCGTTGTTGCGCTGTGCATCAACGTCCGCCCCGCCCCGTGTTAGCAGCCTCAGAAGCGACACGGTGCTCTGGATGTCTCTTTCCTGCGCAATGAAACCCATACGTGAGCGCGGGCTTTGATGTCGATGGTGTAGGATTCATGTGCGCTGAGCATGCAGCACATATTCAATCAAGCCCATACCAACAGGGGAGCACTCCCTGCCGTCGCTTCGTTTGTGAAGCCCTCATGAGCTCTGTATTTCCCGTCCCGGAGAGTCATCTTTCGAGCTTACCATTCTAGCGAAATCCTCTTTCATCTTTTTCGTGGTCATGAGATACGGGTTCTTCCGCCACAAGCCGTACTTGCACGAGTCGCCCTTCCAGAACCGCCAGCAGCAGTGGATGGGGGCGTCGCCCATCGTGTTGACAGCATCAAGGTCAGCTCCGGCCTCGAGCAAAACGCTGCAAATCTCCACGAAACCCAGCGAGACCGCCCTGTGCAGCGGGGTGTTGCCGTACTTTTCCTCGGCTGTAGCGACGAGTCGATAGCTCGAACCGCTCGATGATCGATCTCGCAATCGAGACCGGACCTGGTAGACGTTGTTGGTCTCCACGTATTTAAGAAAGGCATGGAAATCAGCATCCGGCGCGTACTTCGCTGTAGATATCTGCTTCTTCGTCGTGCCAGCTGCACTTTGGTACATACGTTGCACTGCAGGGACGGCGGGGAGGACATGACAATATTTCAGGAATCAACCATGTACACATAATGATAATTTTGTCCTTGATGGTCGGTTCTATCTATGTGCTACCGTAGCAGCACATTGTTTCCAAAATCCTTTTGAAGAGTCTACCCGGTATACCTTTTGTACACGTAGAGAGCCCGAGAGGGCTGGAAGCCCGATGATTACTGTAGCAATCGGCGATGATGCACAAACCAATCGCACACAAGGTTGTTTTCTGTATTTGGTGAATCTCCTAAGGAAGGGTTCGTCCAAGAGCCGACTATTGTAATCTACTTGTGTTCACACGAGTACAGTAGCTACAGTAGACATCCCGGACATGATAGAGGTACTGCCCGGCAATTTAAGGCCTCGCAGCACGGTTAGTCAGTTCACTTCACCTGCATCCATTCTGTAGCCCACAGTGGCTTGAACCTCGACTCGAGCAGTGATCGCCGCCTTTCGTGTTCTGCCTCTCACCCTGAGACGTCGCCGGGCTTCGATGTTGTCGAGGGTCTTCTGCAGCGAGCTGGCCCGCTTTTCGAGGAAAGTGTTGCGCTCCTGCTCGACCCTTGTCGCTGTACCCGGGATCGTATTCGGTGTTGTCATTCTGCTTAGGTGGAATTTTCCTATGAAGTCAGTGACGCCCCACTGGGCATCCCTCCTGTGCTCCGCCATCGCAGCGCCAGTGTCGTTCATCACTGTACTGCCCGTATCAAAAGGCGCCGTGGGCGTTGACAAAAAATCGCCCGTTCTTTCTCTTTACCTCAGCCGTTCTTGCGGTGGTTGGCTCTGACTAATACAAATCTCGGCTCGCTAACTTTGCACGCCCGCCGCACGACAACCGCGTCTCCATCGGGCGCAAAACACGCCACCTCCAACATGTTATGACATGTGCTACGCGCCGCGAACATCGAACCTTCCTGAAATTTGCGCCGCACCCATCCCGAAAAGGAACAAATTTCCGCTTGCTGAGGTTCCAAACTTGGAAACTTGGAGTGGAAGGGGTGACGGGTGACGGCAGATGCGAGATGTTTTGGAAACCTCGATTAAGGCAGGAGCAGGGAGCAGGGACAAGGTAGGGAGACACAGACGCAGACAAGGGGAGCAGAAGGCGCACACAAGCAATGGCGAAGCTATCGCCCGGCGGGAAACATGTCGCCATGGGGCTACTTTTCGGCACCGCCTTCGGCATGGCACTGTCAGCCGTATTGCGAAGCAAATACACCGCGTCCAAGGGAGTGAAGAAGGCGAGCAATACTGCTGCTGTAGCTGGAAGTAGGCTAGACCCGTAACTAGTCTATGCCTCTGTCGCTGTTTGTTGGAAGGGAAAGTAGTGTTCAATATTGCTGTGGCACCCATCGTTCATGCATGTAGAATTTCGCTGTACATTTCTTTTTCTTTCGTGGACAGGAGTAAATCGCGCACGTCTTGATGACACAATCTTCCTTTTCCACAACTCCGTGGCCCGACGTCAACATTCTGCAGCTACAACATAGAGTACTGGGTTCATTCGGGGTGTGGCTGACAAAAACAACCATCGACTGCGATAGTCTCTGACTGGCGTTGTCTGTACACGTTCGGCGAAAGGTTTTGTATCTGCCGTGTTTTACAGCAAGACTGTAGTCTCACTTTGTGTGCCCAATCTCTATCCCGCCCACCCCCCAACCTTGCAGCAGCAACGCGAGGCTGTTCGGCCAAAGGTGATTTGCTTCGGGGACAGCCTGACACAATTCGGGTGAGGCCTTATATGATGGAGAGCTGAGTTTAGAGATTTGCTTTGATACCTGTTTCAAGTGCCCCAAGGCGCGAGGCCATCGTATCTATGTACGAATTGCTGTCGCTGGCTGCCTGTAACCCTTGCTTGCAGGATGGAAGCCGTTGGTAAGTTTGGTTCGACAGAAAAAGCTGCGATTCGTCTTTCGAAGTCGTGTGGTTTCAACAACTATCGGTGGGTTCTGCGCATGCTTAAGGCCTTCATGTCGGCATGTTCCCCACTTGTGAGTATTAAAGAGCTGCTGTGAAGAGTAATAGAAGCAAGGTGAACGGGTGGGGGGGAACACACGTGCGCACATTTTCCTTCTTACTTAGTCGTGCATTGTCGAACAACAAACACGCAACCTCGCAACGAAAGGTTTGATGCCGAGAGGTTGGGTTGGTTGTCGCTGCTGGCGCACTGGTGGGAGCGCCGGTTCGACGTGGTCAACCGCGGCTTCAGCGGCTACAACACTCGGTGGCTCATGCCGCTCATGGACCGGCTCTTCGTGCCCGGCGGCAACACCCCGGTCAAGCTCGTCACCATCTTCCTCGGCGCCAACGACTGCGTCCTCCCCGGCAACGCTCAGTATGGTGCGTGTGTATGTGTGTCGTGCAGGCGCGTTCGCGTGTTGGAGCGAGCGGCCTTCATTGCCACCACAGGATGAACAAGCGTGGCGACCACTCACTACGGCATGCCCACACCGACGCTCACTTTCACCAGGGACACTTTCAGCGCCGGACGCGCTCCCTCTCCGGCCAAGAACGTTTTGATTCAGGGTTCGCCTTGTACTTGGCGATCTCCTATCGTCACCTGTGGTCTTGTACGTTGGGGTCGTGTTTGAAGTCAGTACCACGAAGAACAAACCTGCGAGGAGCGGGCGTGTCACCAGAAAGTGAATCCCGTTCAAGAGCAAAGCTGTTGACGAAGAAGGTGGTTCTCTGATCCCTGCATGATCCCCACATGTCTCCTGCGTGGCCCCTTTTTGTTCCCTTTCCGCGCACCCCGTGCAACAGTACCCCTTCAGGAATACAAGGAAAACCTTAAGCTCATGGCGGCACACGTCCGCACGGTACACAAAGAAGCAAGGCTGATGCTCATCACGCCCCCTCCCATCCACGAGGTGCAATCATCGTTGTCCCTGTGTCGTTGTTGTCGTTGGTAGTGGTGGTGGTGGAGGTGGCGGCGGTTGTTGTTCTGTTGGCGTTGTTGTTGCTGTGCTGTTGTCGCTGTCGTTTGGTGTTTGTTTGTTTTGGTCGCTGGGGATTGTTACTGATGTTTCTGTTGCTGTTGATATCTTCACAGTGCAAGTGTTCTGGCCTCTACAGCAGTTCAGCGGTACCTCTCCGCACGACGCCGAACCGATCAGAAAGACAGACCCGAGTCCGGTGGTCATTAGCCCAACACGGCTAAGAAGTATAAGCGCTAAAGGCTCCAACCACGCGCGGGAAATGGCCGCAACAGGTCTAATCGCCCTCCATCCCTGTAGGGTCTACATGTAGCGTGCGTTTTGAATGTCCCCTTCACGAACAACGTCGCCGCAGGAAATCTCGCAAGACGCTCGCCCACGGCGGTAGGGGAAATCCCACACGCGAGCCACAACTACTTCCCTACGCCCCCTGTTTTGTGTCTTGCTGTCTCGAAGTTGTTGTTGCCGCTGCTATCGGATATGTGCTGCTGTTGGTTGTGAGCATTCTATTCAGCAGCTGTGCTGAGCTGTCCACGGCCGAGTGATTTTCTTCGTGCGGGGGTTGCGTGCTCCCAACTACACCATATCGGTTCTGCTTCACCTTGTAACCATGTTTGCATGTTTTGCCCTCTTCGAGTGGTTGGGGTGGCGCACCTCGCCTCCTGGCCCATGTTTATTCGACGACCAGGCGATAACGTGCCTTCTGTTTCGGAAACGTGCCTGTTTGCGTGTTTGGGTCGTCCTGCCGCTGCTTGGTTGTCGCAGAGGAAGTGGATGGAGCACAGGCAGTTTCAGGCGAGAGACATGGACCGCAAGCAGGAGGCCACCATGTCCTACGCTGTGGCGTGCGCAGAGGTGTGTATGCTTGTCTCTCTTTTAGTACGAATCGACCGCACTATTCGGCTTCAGCCCTGTGTATGTATTTGCTTGTCCTAAGCATGGTGAGCCTTAAGACGTTCACGTCCTCGTTTGTGTGAGTGTGTGTCTGGTGTGCGTTGTTTTATTCTGACGCACCTCAGACGCTGGGAGATGCAAACGGGCTCTGTATTCCCCTTGTGTTGTGACTGGAACGAGCGAGACCAACCGTAGAGCGACAACCCATGAGCCACCATGACTTCAACACCTAACTCGCCAACAAACACAACAGAACACCACCACAGATTCCCCTTCCCCACAAAAATGCTCCGAATAGTGCAAATCGTGAGTACCCCCCCACACACGCAAAGAATAGAAGGGAAACAAAGAGGTACCACGGAAGAGTCAAAAGAGTTGTGGGCTCTCATGAGCGTACACACACACGCACACCGCCGCCGCCGACCCCACCAAAAAATTCAGGTGGGCAAGGAGATCGGCGCCAAGGTGGTGGACGCGTACAGACTCATGGGCTCGGGGGCCGAGGACGCCGCGGACGAGTACCTCCACGACGGTGTCCACTTCACCGCCGAGGGTAACCGCAGGCTCTTCGAGGGGGTCAAGGCGGAGATCCGCGCGTCGTTCCCGGAACTGGTTCCGGACACGGAGGAGGAGGGGGGGGTGGTCTCTATGCAGGCCCCCCACTTCTCGGAAGTCGACCCGACTAACCCGAGAGACAGCGTGCTCAGGGGTCTGTGATGAATAGGGTGTGATTTTGTTCTTGGTGAGGAGGCGGTGGATGTGTAATGTGAGGGGGGAGGGGCGGGGGGCATGGCCGTGCCGTTCCGTTGGGACAGAATGGGAACCTCTTGTCCCCCTGTCGTGGCCCACTCCGGCCCGTCGTTCGCAGTAATATATGAAGCGCGGAGAATCAACCTCCTTCTCTTTCCTGCACCATTCCAGAGCGCGTTTAACGAGGCTCGGAAAATTGTAAGTCGTACAAACCTCGTGGTTGCCCCGCCCCGTGACAATGTCTGTGACTACGCAGGAGTCTTGCTCGTGTTTTTTTGTCGTTATTGATGGCGGGCTGGGGTATGGACCGTGCGGGTTCCCTACGTCGAATTGTGAGACGGATTGTGACAATTTTTTTCTCGTATCTCAGCGCGAAGCAATATTGTGGTTGATGTTGCACGGGTTATGTTGGGGGGTTGGGCGCAGCCAGCGTTACCGTCCAACTGGAGATAATGCGGTGGGTAGAGCTCCCTCCCCCCTAATCGCTCTCCTCCCTGCCCTTGCTCGTACCTACAGTCGATGGCACAGACCACCGTGGTGCACTTTTCTCTGTAGGCAAACGCAGCCGTAGAAAGTACGGTGTTTGAATTTAGGGTGTGGTCCACATAATACCAACGAGAGCCGCCCTCTCTCAGAAACCTTTGTCCAGAGAAAAACCTCGCCCTGCGTGGTTGCGATCCGGACCGTGCCTGAATGGAAGCATCGCAGACAGCCTCCTCTGAATAGAGCGAAACGAGTCCGAGGGAAAGCAGCGTTCGGCGAGAACGGTGGCATCAAATCTCGCGGCTATCGCCTTGCTTAGCTGCTGCTTTCTTTGTCGAGCCTGCTACTCTGCCACGTAGGCCGTGTTGCTCCCCCTCCCGAACCACAGCACGAGCATCCAAGGGACGTTCAGCAGAATCCCGAACAGTATCCGCCACCGGGCGCCGTTCTCGTAGTCTCTTAGCCCTTCCTCAATTGCGCCGGATATGACTTGCTTGAACGTCATGGGCTGCTCTCTTGGCGCATCGGGTGGAGAAACCGTAGCGGCGTCAGCGTCAGCGGCGGCTCGTTCCCCACGCTCCCCCTTTCCTTTGCTCCTCCCTAACCCTTCTCTCTTTTGTTGCGGGGCACCCGCAGTGTCTTCGGACGCAGAACCCCCGACACCGCTGCCTCCTCCCTTTGAACTGCCGCCGCCCCTGCTGCCACGAGATAGTGAAGGGCCGTTTCTTTTTGCCCGTGCGGCTATTCTCGACTTCGCTCGAGCCAAGGGGCTCTTGCCGCTGCTCGGGAGGGTTGCCTTGCCGGCAGCAGCGGCGGCAGCGGCGGCGGCGGCGGTGGCCGCGACGTTGTCTCGACTCCTGGCCGCTTTTTTCTCGGGATTCTTGACGATAAGCTCGCCGGCTCTGGTGCAGGTGCCCTTGTACGTGAAGACCCCGGGGTGCAGCCGACTGGTTCCGGTACGGGGTGGGCGTGACGGGGGGTTGGGGCCGTTATTGACGGCAAACAAACACAGGACCAAGCAGGACAAGGACGAATATTTGCATAAGGGAAAAAGGGGTACGTGCGCGAAGGCAGGTGGGATCTTCCGTCCAGTTTGTTTGAAATCAAGTAAACTTGGGGCGGTCACATGAAATTGGGGGATGGAAAACGGTTCGTTCTATCTCGAGGTTTCGGATAGTGACGACGCGTCCTGGAGGACGGTACTGCGTGCGAACGCGCTATAGGCATAGATCGAAAATACGGAGCAGGTGACAACCAACAAGATGGGATTGGTACAGTGACTCCAATTACTTGATTCCCACGCGACAAATTTACCGTCACCGACTGGAGAAGGGATGTAGTTAGGCAAAAGGGTGCCTTCTGTGGTGCCCCCACGCATGCTCCACTGCTCGTCGGTGTCAGTACACTTGACAACGTTCGCTATTTAGCACAAGGACATGCGGTGCTCACCTCCAGTTAAGCTTGACGACTCCTCCCACGAGGACAATTCGGGAAACGTTCAGGAACAAGAACATGAGCAGGGTGGCGGCTACCCGGACGGTGCCAGCGTGGAAGAACCACTCCACCATGCACCCGGCGTGAATCGTCACGGCCTGGAGGAGCTCCTCGTTGGGCCCCACACACGTCATCCGGCAGGTCGGGATGGTGTCACAGTCTAGAGCAATGCCATCCTTTTTTCGATCCGTTGTGATGATGATGGCGAGGGTGGTGGGCGATGTCGTTGTTATTTCGGGCGCACGAGGGGGGGGGTTGCACCGGCGGGAAAGAGGAGAGGGAGTCGACGTATGCAATGTTACGAGGAGCGCAAGACGGACAAAATCTGCTTAAAGCAGAAAAGGGTGCTCTGGCGTGTCATCCCAGAGACGGCACACAACAAGCCAAACAGCAAGAACACATCATTTATCACTACAGACAGACCTCGACTTTCCAGTTTGCCGTTTCCAAAGTTTCAGCCGAACACGCTGGGTCGGACAGCAGGACTTCCAGAGGAACAAACGCCTGGCCGACGCCGGAGGCATAGTTTAGCGGGCACTGGAGGAGGTTCGAGTTTGCCGTCGCTGACGAGCATGTGTCGTTGCTGTACCTGGGCAAGGGTCAAACCACCGCAAGTAGGGGGATTCAGCACATGTGAAGAGTGGTCTCTCCGATGTGCGCGAGGGGGAGATTTTTCTCGAAGCCGTCCGTGGTTGTGTGTGTGTGTGCTTGTCGACTTTCACCGGTTTGTGGAAAGGGGGTTGCTGCTACTAGAACTCTCTTCGCTCGGCGTCGTCAGGGATCCGGTTGGTCGGCCCCGCAGAAGAATCATCACAAAACACGTTTTCAGCTCAATCCTTGCGTTGGGTATATATATTTTTCGCAAGTTTCGGTTTTTCTGTCAACCATATCACGGGTGGCCAGAGGCAGGTTGTGCGTAGGTTGGGTGGGGCACCAACTACAACCTCGGGGGGGGGGGTTGTAGGGAGGTTGCAGCCCAAAAGCGTGCAAGGTATCCCGCATCTTGGATAGTGGCGTTATTGCAATCAACACGGCGGGCTGCAAGCCTGACGAAAAAATGGGTTCGAGGTCGAACTCGGCTTCCCAACCTCCCCCCCCCCAGGTTGCAGTTCGTGCCCAACCTGCCCCTCTGGCCACCAGTGATACAACGGAAACGCTCTCATCCGATGTACCACCGCAACAATCGTTGTATAGTCAGCAGGTGCTTCGTGCGCACCCCTCTCTTTCCTCTCGAAGCATGCGATAACATCGTAGTTGTGCGTCGGATGGCGTACTCTTTGTTCTCCCTCCAGACAGAACCACTGGGCGTCGCTCACAACAAGCAATTATAATCCTTCCAGAAATAGTAGAGTTGCGTTCGTAGCGTTGCGTTCGTAGCGTTTCGTTCGGGAACAAACCAAATATTCTGCAGTTCTAGACAACCAAAGCAACAAGCGGGGTTAAACCTTCATCTCGTGGTCATGCAACGACAAGTCTTCTATTTCCTTATTCTTCTCGAAGCCATTATCCGCCAGCCACCACAAGCCCTTACCCGTCGTAGCCGCAACAAGCCCCCGCGTACAGCGCGTCCATTCCCGCGGTGTCGATGCAGGAGGCGAGGGTAGCGGCCGCCGTCACGTCCTCGTAGTGCGCCCCGTACATGCTCCTCAGCTGGGCGTCTGTCTCGGCGAGGTACTGTCGCACGTCGGCGGTGAGCTCGACGCACAGCGCCCCTCGGCGGCTGGTGTGGTCCTCCTGCTCGCAAGAAGTTACATTTTGTATGCCATCCCCCACGCGGGAGCAAATAGAGGCGGCGCGGAACGATTTGGAACAAACGGCATCGATTATCCACGAAGTGCCTTCTTTTCACAACAAGGTGCTGACAACTTTTTTTGTCCTTCCTGCTGCTGTTACAACGGAACGGCGGAGGGGGAAAGGAGCCTTTTGCTCCTTCGAACACGGGCTTGTTGGTGTCTCTGCCTCCTCCGCCCATACCCGCTGCGTGCCGCACCTCGCGCCAATGAGCTAATACCCCTTTGGTATCTCTACACACACCACACACGTTTTACCAAACCTGATAAGTCCACTGGTCCCGGTTGCCCTCCTCGGCCGCGTAGTTGTAGGCTACGGAGTACACGTTTTGGCCGAAGAAGCTCCCGTTCTGGGACTTTTCCACGCAGCCCGCCCTGTAGTCAGCGAACAGCGGGCCGTAGACCGAGGCCAGGTTGTACAGCACGAGCGACAGCACCACGGCGGAGAAGAGGACGGTGGTGGCCGGGTGGATCAGCACCCGCACCACGCCCCTGCGGAGGCCGGCGGCCGCCCCGCCGGCGCTCGCGGCGGCCTTGTCCACGCGGACGTCGGCGTCGGGCAGGCCGAGCCCGCCGCGGCTCCAGAACCGGACGAACAGGCGCAGGCTAGACGCGGTCCGGAAGATGTAGTCGGCGGCGAGGAGCAGGAGCGCGATGTTGCCGAGCGAGACCACCCAGCTGTCGAAGCTTACGTCGGTGGCGGTGAAGGCGGCGAATGTGTAGTCGACCGGCGAGGGGAGGACGGTGGAGGCGCCGCCGACCAGGAGGGTGGAGTTCAGCGACGGGGAGGCCGGGAACGAGAGATTCGGGCCCGCGGGCCCGAGCCCTTCGAGAAGGGCCAGCGATCTCGACGAGTACCCGTCCGCCTCAGCTTGAAACTCCGAACCGGCCGAGTCCAGGAGGGCGCTCGAGTCGGTCTGCGTCGAGGAATTGCCGTATAGCGGGGGGTTGTAGTCTTCGAGGGCGAGGGGGCTCACGGAGATGTTGGCGAGGGCTGCATTCGTCAGGGCGCGCCACTCTTCCCTCAGGGCCTCGACGTCGGCGGTAATCTGGCCGCTCCTGGAGGAGACGCCGTCGGAGTAGTTGCCGTAGGCTCCGCTGACGGTCTCCCAGATCTCGGAGGAGGTTAGGGCGTCGCCGAAGTCGGAGAGGACCCCGCTCGCCGAGGGGACCTCGACGGGCGGGATCGTGAAGTCCGACACGGTGAGGACGGACCAAGGCCCGGAGCCTGTGATGTCGACCCTGTGGTCGTCCAGGAGAAGCACCACGCCGGAGTAGAAGGCTATCCAGTTGTCGTACGACTCCTCGGCGCTGGCCTTGTACGCCTCGTACGTGTCCGCGTACTCCTGGAACGCCGCCCGCGCGACTTCCAGCTGGTAGTCCAGCTCCTCCCTCGCCGCGTCCGCAAGCTCGCGGGCGCTCTCGACGGGACAGGGCGCCGCCGCCGCCGCCCCGCCGTCGTCGTCTTCGCCTCGCAGCGACACGCAAGACACAAGAGCATCCCCGAGGGCCGAGATGTCCTCGAGGGACTCGGAGATGGACTCCGGGATCTCGAGGGTGACGTTCTCCAGCAGGGCCACCGCGTCCACGGCGATCTCGGAGGAGGCGTTGGCGACGAAGGCGGCGTCGTACGCAGAGCGCTCGACCGCGTAGGAGGAGAGCGTGGTGACCGTCTCGGCGGAGATCAGGGCGAAGCCCGAGGTGGCCGAGGCGAGTTCGTCACGGCCGGGGGAGATGTCCCCGAGGAAGTCGGCCACGAGCGCGCGGTCGGTGGAGCTGCAGCCGCTACCCCTACCGCTGCTGCTGCTGCTGCTGCTGCTGCTGCTGCTGCTGCTGGCATTGCTGGTTGTTGTTGAGTTGGTCGTGTTCGAGTACAGCAGGCCGTGGCCGATCCCCTGTGCTAGCCAGGTCTTGATGGACACCTCCACCTCTCGCACGGACGCCTCGCAGGAATCCGTCCACGACTCGGCTTGCTGAGGAGAGGGGGTACCAGGGACGAGGACGACGAGGACGACAAGATGTGATCACCGGCGATGGGTGAGAAAAAGAAGCCATGTAGGGTTTTTGCGCCGAACGTTTTGTTTTCAAACATGAAAAAACTCTCGGAGAGGATGCTCAAAACCAACCCGATTTGTTTGTGGAATTCTCTCACTACAAGGAAACATGGTCACCACCCACATGCAACCCTCAACCACATCGATCGCCGTCTAACCTCGAAAGTCGCGGCGGTCGAGGCTAACGACGCAACGCTCGCGTCTCTGGCCAAGACCTCGAAATTCGATATGTCCAGGTCGCAGTAGACACTCTGGCGGGCAACGCACTCCTGGTTCGCTTCTCGCTGCTCCTGCACGATGTAGTACGCGTGGAGCACCGCGGTGATGACGTCCGTCAAACTCGGGGACGGGATGACGTAACCCGTGACGTCCACTGGCGTTGACGCAGAGGATGGAGAGACAAAAGAAGTGAGTCTTGGAGCATGCATTGGCAAGTTTTTTTTCTTGTAGAACGGTCACACCGTCGGGAAGGCAAGAGAGTGGCACGATAGTTTTGTAGAGCGGAAAATTAACCACTTCACATACAGGATTATTTTACCCTACGAACCCATCCGAGGGTGTCGTAGCCGGACTCATCTTCCACCCCATCAAGCAATTTGCTGCTTTGCTGCGAGGAGCAGACGACGGCTACACCGTCCGTACGTCGCAGCGCCAAGAAGAAAGCGAGATCCTCACCTACAACGCTCAGGCTGGTGGACCAGAGCGCGCACACGGCCAGGATGCAGACCGCCAGGCGACCAATCAGCCCGGGCGCGTTCCTGAAGTTATCCCACCACCCCCACGCCCGCACCCCCGAGCCGCTGTCGTCTTGCTTCGCGCCGAGGCCGCCGCCCGGCATCCTTGGAGGCCCCAACTCCCTCACCGCCCTTCTTCGAAGCCGTGCCACGAACGCGGACGGTCGCTGCAGCCAGGACCGACGGTGATCTCGTACGGGTGGCACTACTGGCTTCTGGGGCTTGCTGGCGAAGTCATACTTTGCTGCTCGCGCCTCGTGCATCGGGGAGCTTTCCGCCGCGCCGGGAGGCCGCCAGCGTCGCGGAACGTTGGGCGTGAACCAACGGCCGAACCACGCGCCGCCGCCCACGAGCGGCGGCGTTGATGTCGACCGCAAGTCGTGCGGGTTGCAGCGGTCTTTGCCATCGTCGTTGCCGCCCGCCGAGGATTGTCGCGCAAAGTCCCGCCCCGACGCATTGAACCAAGGCGACGGGGTCATCGTCAACGGCGTTGAAATTCTTCCCGCCGTAACTGTCGCGGCAAGGTCTGCGGCCTCCGACGAGTTGTTTTCGTTATCGGCCGTGAGGTCTACATCGTCCAACGCCGGGAGCGCTGCGCTCAGCCCGGGGCCTCCAAATCCCCAGGCTACAACGCCGTTCGGATTGTTGCCGTTCCCGCGGGGACGGCTCGTGTCGCCGCTCCTTCCATCGCCTTCGTCTGCCCACAGATCATCGGGTTCGCCCGGCCCTGATTGGCCTTCTGCGTGGGGCATCCACAAAGGTGCGACCACGACCTCATCGCTATCGTGTCGATGATGGTAATACCGCGCAGGGGACGGCGGCTGTTGCGGGTTCACACCGCCGGCTGCCGCCGTCGCAAGCGCGCCTCCTCCTCCCGTTCTGAACGACTGCGAAAACGGAGAGGATTGTTCCCCAACACTACTATCGTCGTCTTCCCCGTCGCATCCCCATGACGTGGTCGCGTGCGATGCCGGTGCCATGTCTGCGCCGGCCGGCGCCACTCCAGCCGCCGCTGCTGCCGCCGCTGCTCCCACCCCGAACGGCTGCGAGAGCCTGGACGGACGATAGTCGTAAACGTGTTCGCCGTCGTCGTCGCTTCCCCACACCGTGTCGGCGTGTTCCTCCCGCCGCCGCACTGCTGGCGCTTCTTCCTCGTCGTCGATGGCCACCGCAGCCATGAGGAGGCCAGAAGAAGCGGAGAGGGTGACTGAACGACGTTCGATGTCATGATCTCTATGATTATTTCTTCTGCCGTCGTCGTTGTCGTCGCTATCATCTCCCCACGCCGTAGACACGCCGGGCCCTCGCGAAGCCGCCACACGCTGGTACGAATGAAACGTTCCGCTCGGAAGCCTGGTTGCTGTTGTTCTGCTTTGGCCATCACTGCTGCTGCTGTCGTTCGCCCAAGAAGCTGATGCAGGGTTTATCGTAGTGTTCCCGGCAGCATCATCATGATGATCGGTGCCACCGAACGGTAGCGGCGACTGCGCTGGTGAACGTCTTATCAATTCATCATCGCTGTCCTCTCCCCAGGCCGAAGAGGCAGCGGGCGAAACAGCGCACGGCGGTGAGTGGAAAGCAGTGGTGGTGCCGTCTGGTGGCCGGAGAGGAACGTTTCCGGGAATAATATCGTCCTTCTCCTCTCGGCTGTTCACCACGTCTGACGCGTGAGGGATGACGGGGACGTCAAAGGAAGGCAGTTCAAGAAGAAGAGATTATCGTACCTGCTCCTATATGTAGTCTACCGCTGTGTGCACGGGAATAATACCTCTGACAAGGTGGCCTACAGTACGTGCATGCATTTCCCTCGAATATCCTCTCGGGCAAAACGCACATGTAGTCTATGTGTGCAAGCTGTCCCGTTGTCAATGATTGGATGCGAACAGCGAACTGAACGACATGTGAACACGTAGTTGAAGCCTAGCTTAATACTGTAGTGTGCAGTACTTTGTCGAGCATGTCTACAATAGTATACTGATGTATACCGTTGCTCTGTGATGTGCGTTTTGGACCACTACTAATAATGTATACATGGTTATTTGTTGCGGCACATACAAGTCTACACGACGCCTCTTCTGTTCAGCATGGGCAGCCTCTCAAACCGTTTGCCGTGACAACTTCTTCCCTATAAAACCTGGTGGTGATGTGGTGACACTGTCTCTAGCCCCCGCCGCTTCTTCGGCCCCGTTTCTTTTTTCGCCAGTGACGTCCTCCTTCTGTGGGTCCTGTCCTTCCATTGGTGGTGACGATGGCGTTCTTAGTTTCAGCTGATCCGCCGTACAGCTGCGCTAGACACGAACGGGGTGTGCGCGTCGCCACGACAGAGTAGATCTACCACAAACAGCAGCAGCGTCGCTTGTTGTCCATAAACTCGTCGAAGGTGTAGATCCCGGTCCCCTAAAAAGGTGCGAAGCGTGCATGGCGATGGCGGACTAAATTTGATGCCTGCCGTATCCTTCCTCGCACGCCATTGCGGATTTCTGGCTTGTGGGCCCAATCAAAACGAAGCGCGGCCACGAGACCATCCAATCACAGAAAGCGAACAAGGTCTTCACCCCCCCCCACACGGGAGAGTCATTATCTTACGTATGTAGAGCGACATCAAAGGCGCATCAATATCAAACCTCTGTCAATGTGCTCGTGGATCCTCCTCTTCATGGGGCGACATTTTTTCCTCATCGAGAAAAGTCCGGTTTTCTCTGCCTTTTTCGACAAGTTCGACACGAACTACTGCTGCGGCTGCTGCTGCGGGCATAACGACCTAACTCCCCCCGATACTGCGGCGCTGCACGTTTGATCGTTTTGTGTACATGCATGCTACAGGTATATAGTTTCGAGAGTTTACGGTCACCACAGCAGTAGTACTGCCTCGAGCGACCACCCAACGATCGCGATGAGACGCGTACACGACGAAGATACTAGATGCGGCGCAACTATTATTGCACAAGTTTGGCCATGGTCCGCAGTGTCACATGACTGCTGTTGTGGCTGTTCTGGTGTTGATACACTCTACATAGGAGGGCTTTGTGCCGCCGGGCACTTGTGCCACCCGGGCTCTCCCTTCTACAGACAACTGATGCTGGCATGTGCACTTTTCGCGGTCTCATGTTCGTTCGTCATTCGATGTGCGTGCGTGTGGCGTTCTCTCCCTTTGCTCCACAACAAGTAAGTGTGGGTGGGGCGTTATCCACAAGGCAAGTCCGATTGCTTGCACACAGCCTCCTCTGCGGCAGGCAGGCGTACAGAGCGTCTCGGAGGATTTTGAGACACGCAGCATGTCACCCGAAACATGTGATGATGGTGGTAAGTGCTTGTCATTATTGACGCTTTTGGCTAGCCAACGCCGTGTCACGAGTATGGGCCTGGCGGCTGCCCCCTCTGGTTTACTGTCAATCAAGCACACAAGAAAAACGTTTCGCAAGGTATCGGAACATTACAATTAACTACCCCGCACAGAGAAGATCGGAGGCGCTTGGCTATTATACACATCATTAAACTGCATCGTATGCAAGAGCAGCTGCAGCCTGTACGTATGCTGTATGTGCAAGTGGCCGCAAATGGGAATCCCCGCGGTACATTAGCGCGGACAAACCACATGAGTCAGTCACGAGATAAAAGCCACAGCAGAAGTCTAGTTCCCCGTCCGTCCTTATCAATTAATCGCAAGAAGAATGCAAACTCAACCACCTCACGCGCACACCTACCTATGCCTGCCCGAGAGCCAGCCTGAAGTTGTCTGTACACAGGTATTATGCATACAAAAGAAAATACTGCTTGGTTCGCGTACAGCCAGCCGCCAATGCGGACTTCTTCCGCTCCCCTACAACAAAACAAGACAAAATCCCGACGCGAAGACCAAGAAAAACATCATCAAAACCAAATTCTCACCCTGAGACGAAAAATAAGGTCGACGTCTACCGCAAAACACTTGCAAAGTCAGTCGGTGTCCAATCCACAACACAAACACGCGGCGGGGTTGCGAGGTGTGTGGTACAGAGACCAAAAAAGCAAGCTTATACAAGGACGAGAAACTGTCAAAAAGACACGCAACGAATGAAAAAATAACGAAACGGCTGTCGTGCCTCCCGCATATACATGCTTCATGGACAAACAAGCTCGTACGGCACACAAAAAGCGGCGGTCCCTCTCAACGACGACCATCTGGACATGGACGGTGTATCGAGTTGTGATTAAAATATCGGCACACAACATGTCCTGAACTGCGCGCTCTACCGGGCTACCGAACCGAGAGGTGAAATGTTTACAAAGCGAGGCGGTATGACACAGGTGTCTGACGTGCGCGGGAAAAAAGAAACTCTCACATGGGTGAGCCGGCCACAGCTAAAAAGTCAGCACCCGTTGAAGCGACTCAAACTCACTTTTTTCTCTAACCTAGCTCAGCTCGTACGCGTTCAAGACACGAGCGAGCTCCCCCATCAAAAGACGCCGTCCTACCACAGCAGGGCGCCCCTAGCCCGCCACGAAACAAAATGGGGCGCGTCGCCGACAAAAGAAACAATAAAAAAAAAGGAGTGCAACACAAACGGGATGACACAGACAGCCTATCGGCCCGGCTATTGGTGCATGTCCGCGTTGCGTGCGCCGTGGCCAACCAATCACGGCGAGGCAACGAGGCCACCGCATTCTCATTGGGGGGGGGGGGGTTGCTCAACCGAACCGGCCTCGCCGTCAAGTAGAAAATGAACAGCGCCGCTCCTGTCCTCCTTAACCCTTCTAGCGTGTCCTGCCCCACGGTCAACATGCTCACACACCCTTCTTTTTGCGTTGCGATATGACGGAGCCCCCGGCAGTCCTTCGAGGGGTTTCCAAACGAGAACAGGCTTTAACTAGGCGTGGGGTAGAACAAGGGTGCCAGTATGCATGTCCCTGCCCTTTTCGCGCTTTTTCTCGGCACGCCCCCCCCCCCCATCCTTGAAGAACCCGAATCCCCGGACCCCCCACCCCGACCCCAACAACCGTGCCTTTTCTCCCCAAAGCGACAGAGCTCCATCTTGTTGAAAGCCAACGCCATGCCATCGCACATGCATGAAACACACCGTCGTCGCGCGCGCGACTCAACGCTTCGACACCCACCCAAAGCCCAGGCAAGCCAAGGCTGTTACTCGATGCCGAAGCCTGTGCACTCCATGTTGATGGCCATGGTCAGGTACTCCTCCAGCTCCTTCTTGTTGGAGTACATGGGCAAGTCTATGCGGTTAAAGCACGTGTGAGACCTGCGGTACGGCGAGGTCGAGCGAAAGACGACGGAGAAGCGGCAGCGGCGAGCAGGCGCGCAAGAGCGTTCAGCACCGAGGGGAAAGCGGGGGCGTACTCGTGTCTTGCATGCATCAAGAAGCCGAGCGATGGCACCCCCCCCTTTTGGTCGATTTTGAAAGCTCGATTGCTCCATGACCAAGCCTGTGCAAGCACCAAGAATGGTGGTTTCACCAAGAATGGTGATTTTGGAGACATCCATCTCGTCGAGGGCTTTTAGTGGACGCATCGGGCTCGTTCACTTGGTTGCGGAGCAATCGAGCTTCGAAAGTCGGTCTACGGGGCTTGCCATCTCTCTCTCTCTCTCCGCCTCTTACGGAATACCACGGTACGGTATACGGTACGGTACAGACAATCTTGGTTGCGGAGCAATCGAGCTCGAGAGTCGGTCTAGGGGGGGTTCCATCTCTCCGACTCTTCCGGCATCTTAGCTGTTAGACCATCGACCGCGGGTCCACGAGAGGACGGAGCCTTGTTCCCACAGGACCGATCACCGATGATATGATGAATCGTTTCTTCCTACTTTGCCGAAGGTGGCTCAAAAATGGTTTCCCTAGCCCATCGCGGCGAGGGGATACCCGTAAACAAAGTTTGGTCGCAATGTATGTAGCGACAACAACAAACACTTTGGGCGAAAGCAGCCGCGCAACAACGCCGTAGCTGCTACTGCCGCCCTTGTCAGCGGCGGCAGCGTATGCCGTGGACGGGAGAGAGGGAGGATTAAAGCAAACTACTTGCAGGCAGGCGCCACGTACGTAAATATGGGGCATGTTCCGTATGTATGCAAGGGGGCGTTTGGTGTCACGCTGTCACGACCACGAGCGACTCACTTGGGGAACAGGCCCGAATCCAAGTCGGGCAACCCGTTGATGGTAAACCTTCGAATGTTGCCATCGTTGCCCTGTTGTGCGGAGAAAACATTTACACACACACACACACAAACACGCACGCACGAGGGGGGACCGATGGAATCATCGAGAAATCAAGCGACCATGTAAAAGACACAAGAGAGAAGGCCGGAAGAGTCGACAAGGACCACCCGTGGGTACAAGTAGACAGACGTTCATGCATCTCGAAAACAAGGACGACGACATCACGCATATGCGAGGAAACGACTGTTGCATATGAACAGGTTTTTGTACATGGGATGTACTGTAATGCAAGCAACAGCAACTTCCGCAGGCACTTGTACCTGAGACACTCCGATAGTGCACGGGGTTCTCACGGCGTTGAGCAAGCAAGGCTGCAGCAAGGAGCAGCAGCCACACGCGTTTGCGAAAAGAAAAAAGCACGGGGACTGCAAACAACAGATGCCGCCGCCGCAGTAGCACCAAAACCGTCAAGAGACACATCAGCAAGAACCAAGCCGTCT